CGACCCCCCCCCCCAGATCACCCTCAAAATCTCGCCAGTTGGTCCCTGAACCATGGGAATGGGAACCGATGACATTACCACCCAAGTTCGGCGGAGGTAACAAAGAGTTATACTGGGAACAGTAAGGAAGTGGACATTGCTACAATTCTACAAGCAACCCGATTAAGTTTCTCCTTAACAAACACGCAGGACCGCCGAGAGGAGTGGGTTGGAGCATTCGTTCATGCCCCGTATGAATATAAATTGCGTATTTATTAGTTGTCCTGGCTTCACTGTCGGCGGCGCTGCACAGACCCACTAGCGAAACCCACCTGTGTCGACGACGTACTCTCCGATGCCAGCCAGCCAGGCTTCACGGATTTCTGGCGTTCGAGCTTCAATGAAGATTGGGTAGTTGGGATGGGTCAGGGACTCGATGTGGAAGAACTCGATTGCCTTTGGGTTGTCCAAACTTCCGAGAGATGTTTCTGGAAGCTGAAATTAGGAACAAAAAGAGAATGAGATTGCATTGTCTTTGAATGTTTGAAGGCAATGTAAAGGAAAGAAATGAAAAGAAAACATTACACACACACATACACCTATGTGTGTATGTGTATATATATATATATACATACATATATATATATATATATATATATATATATATATATATATATATATATATGTATATATATATATACATACATATATATATATATATATATATATATAACTATATATATATATAACTATATAACTACTAGACTATCGCGGCAGTCATATATATATACATACCGCACGCACACACACACACACACACACACACACACACACACACACACACACACACACACACACACACACACACACACACACACACACACACACACACACATATATATGTATATATATGTGAGTGTGTGTACACACACACAAATATGATATATATGTGTGTGTGTGTGTGTGTGTGTGTGTGTGTGTGTGCATATATATATATATATATATATATATATATATATACATATGTATGTATATATATATATATATATATATTCATTTATATATGTGTGTGTGTATGTGTGTTTACATATATACACATATATATGCATATATATATATATATATATATATATATATATATATATATATATATATATATATACATATATATATATATATATATATATATATATATATATATATATATATATATACATACACATATTGGTAGATAGGTGAATAAATAGTCTGATAGATAAATAGGTAAACTGAGAGTAGATAGATTTCATAATGATGTAAGTCCTATATTTCAAGTTGCTCTTTCTGGAAGGTAGTTCAGAGGGCCGAAACGATCCATCGGACCGCCTACTACCTCGTTATGCTACCATTATCATCTCTATGATAACCACCTTACAATGACTAACTCTCCTAACAACACCAATGCTTTGCCAACTTTCCTTGCCCACGCGGATGTCTGCAAGCCATTTTCGCGTTTCTTCCCTTGAGTTTAATTTTGTACGATGACACATCATGAAACCCTTCCAATGCTTTACTATCCCTCATATGTACACCGTAGTATGAAATTCAAAAGATATTACGTGGAAATAGCTAAATTGTATGTAGTCTAAAATAACATCACTGGCATTTTGCCTTGGGAACACAATCGTTTTGTTTGTTTCTGCTTCCAATATCTTGAACTATATACTGAAATGTGTACTCTACTTTCCGTATACAAATCTGGAATACTTACTTATCGACCATAGTATTATACCTCTCTTTTCTTTCACAAGAGACGCGGGATATATGCCTAGTCTCTAGGTACACCGTCAGTATGACTGTCGATATATCTGTGGTATATGTTCACCTTGCTTACACTTACGCAAAATGTATTATGCATCGCACATTTAAGCTTATGCTTTAAATTACATCAGCAACACGTTTACTTTAATATTACGACAATAGGAAAGAAAGGGAAGATAGAATTATTGTTTTTGATAGCAGTCCTATAGAACTCGCGAATCATCCGCCAGGTAATATACACATGGTATGATAAATTCTTTCCACTTTTTTATATAATGCATGTTTTCTTTCTAATCTACCAAGTACATAATCTGTTCGTACAGCTATAAGAAATAGATTATTTGTATTGCTGCTTCACTTCTTTCATATTTTCTTACTTGATTTTATGTTACGTTTAACTTCGAGAAGCCCTACTAACTTAACATTAAACTTTGTTTATTGATAGCCTCTCAGTCCTGGTAACTTCGCTGACTTTGCTGATAACACGCAACTGTTACTTTCAAAAGCTGGAAGAGTGCGTTTTCTGACAATTTTCACTTGTGTTTTATTGTTCTTTTAATGTCAGTGCTTTGAAATTCTTGATATGTGATTTTATTATTATATTTCTAATTGAAGATGTCAGTATTTCACATAGTCATTTTTGATTTGCAATATGTAATATGTACCAATGCATATAAGTTCGCAATTGCATTACCAATTTCCGATTAAGAGCACTAGAGAT